AACAGACGTATTGCCGGCAGTAATACTATTGCCATGATATGAGTGGCGGCCACTGTATGCCCGGGCGGCCGACGCACTCGTATGTCCGTTGTGGGCACTGGTATGTCCATTAAGGGCATTGCTATTCGCGTGGTGGGCACCGGTAGGCTTAGGGCCGTTGATTGTGGGCTTTCTAGGTTTGTTCGGAGGTCTACTAATCTGTGAATAAATAGCGGTTATGGACGACATGGTATCAAAACGCGACACATTGGATGTTTGACGGGGGCTATAGTCCAGACCGATCACCGGGAGCTTAGGTAGTGTGGGCTCAGCACGCATTGCCTCTAACTTAGACTTTTTTCTGCCTATATATCCGTTACGAGACGGACGGTGGGATGGGAAGTGAAAACTGATTACAATTAATTGATACATCATTTTAATACTTGTATGCATTGTATTGGTATAAGTGATTGAGTTTCAATTGTCTCTGTTTACGCTTTTTGATACAACAATAAAAATATGCAATACCGGTGATGGTCAGGAAGGACAGTATTATAGTGGTCAGACACGCGGTTATTACAATACCGATGAATATGGAGATTAGTATCGAGTCGTCGTCTTTTGTGGTCATCTTATTGTTCACAACACTTCCCGTCTTTATCTCGCGATTCGTGCGAATAGTGTTCACTAATGTATAGGACTTTTGGTGCCTTTCCGGGCACCCGAAGAAGTCGCTCACCATTTGGTTCTGTCATTGAGACAATTCATACGAAACATTAGATTTTCAGATTATTATGCATTTCAATTGTAATCACATTTGATTTCTTAAACCTATTTTTAAGCCTAAACTCCTTTAGAGATAATTAGATTTCTTATGAAGTCTTATATTTTAAGGCAAACTATTTTTTTATTTCAATTGAATACTCATTGCGTGATTGCATTGCATTTGTCTTTCACTCAATTGGCTTTAAATTATACTCCAATTGAATCATATTTTTGAGAAATTAATTTTTTTTGCACTAATATTTTACTACAGTATTGAGAATCTAATGAATGATTATTAAATTTTATTTCATATGTAATTATAACTTATTTTTACTCAACAATTCATAGCGCTGTCTATAAATAGTAACCTGATAAAAAATCAAACCATTAATTACAGTCAGTTTACAACTACTATTACACTTAAAGTTATTTTTTATGATAATGTTTTTCCTATCAATTACTAGTGTTTTCATTTGACTTTAATTTTAATTGATTTCTACTGTTTCTGGTGATAAGAGTGTCGTAAAAATAAATTGAATTTTGCTTTTAGTCTAAATTAATAAATAAATCAATATTTTTAGAAATTTTTAAAATATATTTTTTAACAGGAATTAATCATAAAGTAATTTAAAAAGCACTTTAAATTGGAAAATAAGATTTAAAAATATTTTTTTCAAATCTATTTCAATCAAAAAAAACTCCTGATTTGATATGATTTTCATATTAATTACACTTATAATTAATTTTGATTAATCAAAATGTGTGGTCAAAGGCCTCACATATTTCTAACCTGACATAAGCCTAACATGTAATTGGATTAACGGTTTAATACGTGCATGTATTATAGCACAGATTACGACTATCATTATAATAACATTAATATATAATTACAATCAAAATGTATAATGAATTGTGAAGTGTGTTACGAAACACACACTACAAAAAACAAACACAAAAATTCACATATCATTCAAACAAAATCCCAATTAATAGCCTAAATGTCGTACCGTTTCGGTGAGTTTCCTATCATTATGTCCGCGGATGTGATATCTGTATATCTTTCCCACCCTTTCGATGCTATTCTTGGTCTCACCGATCGCGTAGACGATGCCATTCATCTCAAACATACCGGTGTAGACCACGTGGTCGCCGATATCCTTGTACTTCCACGAGGAGTTCCAGTTCTTGGTGTCCAACGTATTCCAGGCCAACACAGTGTTGGAGAAGTTGCGGCCATTGATGATGAATATCAACTCATAGCGGGCCGGCAGGTAGGCGACGGGTCGGTGCTCCTGGTAGGCCTCCCAGCCGTTGGGCCATAAATTTCCGCCCAATAATCCCACCTAACGTGCCGTCAATGACGAGTTAATTATAATTAATAGGAACTCCTATTTCGCTATTGTATTTGTGTGGTGACTATAATTCATTAAACACAATGAGTGTCTGAATTATAATTTTTTAATTAAAAACTCAGACTTTTATGTGTTTTATGTGTGCGAGTCTTAAACGTCTTAATTAATCGCATAGTTTTCTACTTATTAATTGACCCAGAAAATAATTACACATCGTTTAGGCATTTGGACGAGTAGTTTATGATAAGAGAAAATTATAAAAATTAATAAAAAGTTTTTTAGTGTATGGAAAATCTATTGAATATACTTTTGTTTGTTGTACTTTCAATGGGACTACACCTCCAGTGTGTTGGGAGGAAATGTGTGTTTCATTTATTATAAGTTATATTTTATACTCAAATATAAATTATATGACAAAAATTTCCCTTTAAAAATGTACTTTTAGTTTTAGTTTCCATTCAATCGATTATACAGTGTATTATAATCAGTTTATTATAATTTCAAAGCAAAATAATAATGTTTTAATTAAAATTGGATTTACAGTGAATTAGGAAATTTATGCTCAATATACTAGAAATTTGTTTTTTTGCATTTTAATTATTATAGATATGCGGCTAATCTAGTGAAAATCAAATATCATATATAAAACTAAGAAAATTATAAATTAAAAAACAAATCTTGTGTTCAATAAGTTTTTCGTAAACCGTTTGATCGGCTTTTGTGGTCAAAAGGAAAACTCAAATAAATATATTTCGAGAGAGAGAGAGAGAGAGAGAGAGAGAGAGATTTTAAAAGATAAACAAAACTTTTATTAAACACATTTTTAACAGCGAAATGTTAGGTCAGGTTAGATAAGTAGATAAATAGATAAATAGTGAATTGCAATCAATTATTATCGCAAATAATTAACGCGTTATTGACTCTTCCTCTTAAAGTATTGACAATTTAACACTGATTTTAGTCATCATTTCATTTCGTAAACTGACAATACATTCAAGATTTCATATTTATTATTATAGGCTTAAGTCTTAGATTTGCAACAAAAAAGTTTTAAAACTTTTACAAACTATTTTTATTTAACTTTTATATTTATTTCTATTAATACCAGTACTATGTAGGATGTCTAGAGTTTTATGGGAAATAGTTTTAGTAAAACTGTTTTTTAAAAAATTTTAACCAAAGTTTTAATTTCGTTGATATTTTTCTACTAAAAACGTGCAAAAGATTCGTGAAATTCAGTGAAAAGAGACGTCTTATGAATATCTGAATATTAAAACGATTAATAAATGTTAAGATGAATAACTCATTCATTAATTTTAATGCCACTAAAATATTTCATAAAACCAATAAAACCGCAAACATCGGGGACTCGTGGACAGGTATCACAAAATACAAGCCATTAAAGTATCTAAAATCCTGGTCAGTCATGCAATAAAATACCCAAAAAAATCTTTAATAGTATTAAAAAAATTTTCCGTAATCTATATATAAGACTAGAAATCAAATCACAATTTGTTTCACTCGAGTGTCGACGCAAACGGGATTATAATTTCATATCAAAAAACTATTTTTCGTTTGATTGCCTTTAAATTGCATTTTAAGCAACCGTTTATAGGCATCATTTGTTAGGCCTGTATGTAGGCATTGATGAGTGAACCGGTAGTCAATAGGCACAGCATAACTCCATCACCACTATTACTAACTTATACGAGAGATCATGTGTTTATCATTAAAACACGGGCTGATTGTTATCAATAACAATACAATTGCTGTAAATCTTGTTTTTTGTGCGCAAAACAAATTAAGGCCTAATTTTCAATTTATTTTTCAATTGTATTAACTGTCAGTCGATTAGAGAGCCGCGAGAGAGAGAGAGAGAGAGAGAGAGAGAGAGATTGAAGGTATAGTAAAAATATATAAAACAAGACTTATGTAACATATTGAGCACAAACTGACTTTAAAAAAGCTTTTTTATGCGTTGTATATAACATTGTGGACCCAATTCCTCCACAAAAAAGCTGTAATCACCACAAGAGCCGTATGTGTGAGTGGTATGACTGATCTCATCATCAAATCTTCAAATTAAAAACTGCTGTCGAATATACCGGGGAGTGTCCAAAGGGGGACAGTTATCTCAATATCATTGCACCTCCATGTTAGGCTCTTACGTGAAAAGTTGTATATTTTTTGAGCAAAAATACGAAAAAACTAATAAATATTTATAATTATAAAAGTCATTCATTTTCGTAGACATATGCAATCATATGCTAATATACTAACGACTTATTTACAAATACATGACAGACTGGCGATCCCTATCCACTATTTAAATATGGATTTATTTGATAAAAATAAATTATATTACAAACATTTCATAACTATTGCATAATGTATAAGCAAATATGACTGCCCAAATGTGTCTATTAGAGAGATTGAAGGTATAGTAAAAATATATAAAACAAGACTTATGTAACATATTGAGCACAAACTGACTTTAAAAAAGCTTTTTTATGCGTTGTATATAACATTGTGGACCCAATTCCTCCACAAAAAGCTGTAATCACCACAAGAGCCGTATGTGTGAGTGGTATGACTGATCTCATCATCAAATCTTCAAATTAAAAACTGCTGTCGAATATACCGGGGAGTGTCCAAAGGGGACAGTTATCTCAATATCATTGCACCTCCATGTTAGGCTTTTACACGAAAAGTTGTATATTTTTTGAGCAAAAATACGAAAAAACTAATAAATATTTATAATTATAAAAGTCATTCATTTTCGTAGACATATGCAATCATATGCTAATATACTAACGACTTATTTATTAATACTTGACAGACTGGCGATCCCTATCCACTATTTAAATATGGATTTATTTGATAAAAATAAATTATATTACAAACATTTCATAACTATTGCATAATGTATAAGCAAATATGACTGCCCAAATGTGTCTATTACACTGCTCACAAAAAAACACATTTAAAACAATAAAAGCCACAAAATATATAATAAATTATAAAATTAAATTACAAACGCGTTTTGGGGGCCGGCGTATGGATACCGCCCATACCCAACACATAACAATCATATATACAGTGGAAAAATGGTCTCATTTTTAATTAAAATAAATTAAGTAATAATTGTTTTCCTCAGACATAAGTCACACATAATATAAGAGATATACTAATGATTAATACGAGATAATAGTGAGATATACGGTATAAATAAATGTATGTATAATACAGACCTGTTTCATACCCCACGGCAAATGCTTGGGCTTTACTCGCTTTTGACTGCCATTCCTATTACGTACGTCCAGGTTGTAGTAGCCCCGGGCCCGGGACTTATTGTGCAAAAAATAAACCGCCATGTCCCGCATTTTTGATATTTCCCGACAGTCAGCCACTTCACTGGCATTACATTTGGGTACTCTGGACACATTAAAAGCACCTTGGATGTGGTCACCTGGGTATAATCAAGCGCATAAAGTTAGATCAATAGTTAGACCTAGTTATATAATAATAATAATTATGTTTTTATTTAAATAGTTGTGTAATATTTGTGTTTATTTCAATTTGATGTTAGGTTCACACTTGCGATGAGAAAACTAATAAATAAAACAAATTATTTGATAATAAAAACAATATTTTCTCTTCTCTTCACTTAATCTACTGTTTAATTGAATTAAATTTCTCTCCAAAAGAAGAAAAATAAATATAAAAACAAAAAACTTTTTCATTTGTTTAACAATTTTAAAGCACTGTTTAAACAGTGTATGTATTTGTGACCCCTTTTTGCGCCAACCATTCACTTATATAATAAACACAAATATTATGAAATTGTATTCAATTAAGCGTTTTATTTATATTTTTGAAGATAAGTTTGAAAATTATATAATATATTAAAACAAAACGAAAAAAATTGCGTTTATTTCAAACGTAGGCTTTTGAGGAAAATATAATAAAACACTCAACAAATATATAATCAAAAAGTTTTTGCCACAAAATGCTATCCATTTAAAGTAATAATTAGTATTAATGTTATATTATTACCGAGTATTCATGCAATTATTTACTTAAATACAATATTAAGAAATTTACGTAAGATTTTTAGACAAGTTTATAATTTTAAAGTGGTTTTCATAGTAATCACTGTAAATATAGTGAACCAAAAAACCGATGAATTATTTATTTGACAATTAGTATAATTTTATTACACCTTTAAAAGTACATTGTGATAACAAAAATTAAAGTTATCCATTGAATATAATTTTAAAACAAAGATTTTCTTATTGATAATTACTAATATAGTATGAATGTATGATTATTAAATTAATATACCATTTTATGCGATTAATATACCATTTTATGCGATTAATATTTTATTTATTTATTAGTTTTTTGCAAATACATTATTCTCACATAATATTATCTAAAATAGACTCTTAAGGACTAATTTTAATATTTTATTCAAATACAGGTATTATTTTTTGCAGCATTTTTCGTACCTAAATATCAGTGTATAGTCTAATCGATGACATAATTCCCTGAAATTGTAATGAAATCGAGTGCGGAATGAGTGGTGAGAGAGAGAAAAAGATTACTTATATTTGATTACAAAATAAATATAACTTTCTCTCTCTCTCTCTCTCTCTCTCTCTCTCTCTCTCCGTCTAATCAGTGATACGTATAAAAAGTATAAGTATTTTTTGGTGAGTGGAAAAAATAATAAAACTACAAAATCAAGTTAAAAGGGCCCGGAGTTATGGCCGAAAAAAGTACAACTAATCACTTGTTTTATTTGAGTTTTCATTTTATTTATATTACTTGAACTGAATTTCGTTTGATAGGCAATTGCTTGTAAGCGATATTATAGCGAGTTATAAGTCATTAGTTTTTTAGAGAAAGTTTACTTTTGTAAAACAAATAATTTATGAAAACTTTTACTTAATTATTATAAACTTATAATACATTTTGTAATATAATTTTTGTTTGGAGAGAGAGAGAGAGAGAGAGAGAGAGAGAGAGAGAGAGAGAGAGAGAGAGAGAGCTATTATTGATAGGAATAGTATTATATAAAATAATTTCCCATTTCTTTGGGGGATTTTATAATACAATTAATTTTGCAGTCATTTCAATGACAAAAGTAACAAAAATTTATTTTTATTTATCATGCATTCTCTCAACACAATTATACCTTGTTTTTGAGAAAAATAGTCATCAAATTGTTATACAAAAATAGGTTAACATATAATTTATATGAAGAGATATTCGCATTAATAATAAATTTAAATAAATGCCATTAAATGGTGGACTGAATCATGCAATCCATTGGCATCCAAACGGTTATGAATAATAATAGCAAACATTTTCAGTCGTAATCCTATTGTAAATTATGTACGATTTATAAAACTTAAAAAACTTTTTCACTAAAAAGTCATTTACAAAAATTTCAAATTAAAATTCAAAGCAAACAAAACACAAAATATTTCTTAATTTTATGTATAATTGTAATAATTTTCTATCAATTTATGCAAAAATTGCTTACTTAGAGCTAAATGCACTCAAAATACTGTACTTTTCGCTCATGATTTATACCCCAAAACTATAAACATTTTAAAAGTACATAAAAACTATAATTTAAATTCATTGAAAAAATATTTATCAAACACTTTCCCACTACAGAAATAGGGCCGATATGTGTGTAAAAGGAAATACACGGCAAAAATGATTGTGAAATCAATTAAATTATGTGTGAAAGTGATCGCACGGGTAGACCACAAAACATACCTGAAGTAAAAGCTTTTTGACTAAACGGTGCGCTCAGGTTATGACTGTCCTTATAGTAGTACCAGAGCCAGTCGTCCCTGGTCACAATTATATCGTACCCATTAAAATAGGCCGAATCCACATACGAATGATCACAAAAGTGGACACTTTCCTCGTCGGGCACCCCTTCCTCCTCAGTCTCTATCTGGTCATCCGCTTCAGTGACAACCTCTGACACCCTGTCCGACACGACATCCGTACTGTTTGTATCACATGTGACGGCATTTACGAGCAGTAATAATAGGAGCAAAATGTGGGCTAAAGATAATCCCCGAGATTTGCGGCAAAAATACATTTTTCAATCGTTGTTTGAATCGCGGTTTCGGTGATCATTGTATTCACTCATGAGTTGTGGGATAATATAACTGCGACCGCAATGATCGCCACAAACACCTATAAACACATTACTCTATATTATATTAGCGAGACATCCACTGTCGCCAGAAAAACTACCGGAGCCAAGAAATTATACCACTTTCTCAATAAGTTATACTAACTTATAATAAATAATGAGCAGAAAAAAACTTTTTGCTTTAATTGATTTTTGTATATTTAAAAAACAAATCGATATTTTATTTTAATTCTTTGCATTTCTTAATCCAATGACGGAATCGAAGGTTTCATTTATAGTCACAAATAAATTAACAGAATATTCACTGAATTGAAAAAAACTTTTTCAAAACTTTTGCATTAATTCACTCCAATCGCTGGCACAGGTAGTGAGTGAGTGGAGAGCACAGGGATCTCGAGGTGCATAGAGTCAGACACTGGGAAGAAATTGTGGAAATCCACTCACTATTGACAAGGTCTTCAACAGTCACTAACTACTACTCCATACGCCAAAAAGCTAACTGTTCTCATCGGCACCGTTATGTTATATTCTCAATCACTTATGTCTCACTGAGAATACACACATACACTGAGAGCCACTCTCTTAACTACCTGTGCCTTCAGGTTCTGTAAGAGTATGTGTTTTTTAGTGCCGTATTTCCAGTCATATATTCGCGAAATCAGGTCGAAGTGAAACCTAAACGCATAGCACTTATACATACCGTAAGAATATACATATAATGTGATCATAAATATGAGAGAATTACTATATTTTCTCAATGTTTGTGTGTTTTTCACTGTTGATTAGCTCTAAGAGATAGGAAAATTTTGCTCATTATATTTGCCTCTAATATGTGTCTCATTAGATTTGATGAGATTTTTTTGCCGATGTTTTCTCTGATTATGTATTCCTAGAGACTACTGAATTGAATGAGTATTTTCTCCTGAATTTTACATTTTTATCTCTTTTTGTTGCCTCGGATTTGCTTTTCTCATTCACTGGGAGTGTCCCAACCATTGCTATCAAACTGTAATCAATAATCATTAAACATTATATTATATTTAAATTTCTTATTTAAGAGTCTTAGTTATTACTGCCTGGATATCGTAGAAAAATATTATAATTTATTAATTATTATCGTATAAAATACAGTGTTTAGTGTCTATATTGTGAGGAAATGGATATACATACCGTAGCGAATATCTCATTACTGCCAATGATTTATTATATTAAATTTTACACCCAATAAAATGAATGAAAAGTATTTTGTTTGGTGCACAAATATTTAAATTTAAATTCAAAAACAAATTTAATTTTATGCAAATTTTCACAAATTCTCTCTCTCTCTCTCTCTCTCTCTCCTATAATAATGAGCATTAGATTTGAAAATTTAATCATTAAATTCCAATTATATTTGAAATAAAAAAGATTATCTAAAGTTAAATATAATTTTAATCCAAACCTTAAGATACATTTTGCGGCAAATATCAGGATCTGTTTTTCTGCTCTAATAAGAAAATATGAAATTAGATACCTATCGGGATATACAGTGTATACAAAGTTTTGTAAGATTTACTACGAAAACTCGATATAATTTTCTAATAACAGTATTAAGTGCCGCAATACAAAAATAATTTCTATATTTATGTGACACTAATCCGGCAAATATTTCCTTATATTCCCCCAATATTTCTAATACATTGGCTTTTCATTACATATACTAATCGTTTGCCGAGAAAATAATAAAATTACACAAAAATGCTATTTTGTGGTCACTTTGCTAATAATAATTGCAAGAATTGCTAATTCCATATATTAATATGGCTTATATTCTTAGGCATATAGTTATACAATAAAATGTTTTACTTATAATTTAATGATTAATTCACGAATTTATTTGCTTTCGAGGGATTGAATACACAATGATTTTCCGTCTATAAGTAGACTAAAGCCCGTCGGAAGTCCACGTTTTTCACTGTATTTTCATCTATTTCTCAACGATAAGTGATGTAATAAATTATCAGTTCATCAACTCTTAGCGTATTTAACGATTTATTAAATATATTTCTGTAATCAAACCATTCAATGTAAATAAATTTATGATTATATTATATTTTTAGGATTTTCTTTTTCGCTATAAACCTCTTATGGATGTATTATTTTAAGACAAAATACTAAACATATTAATATTTTTATGTGTTTCATACCAAAAAAGTATTTATGATTTGTATAGTTGAGTGGGAATGGGAGTTCATAATAATGTTAAATACAGTCTCAGGTATATGTTTAACGTACTATTTATTAGTTTTTTCATTGAAAACTTAAATCACACATCAATTGATTTGTATGTATGCACTGACCCCTAAGCCCACAATTTGTTTATCATAGAGACATGAATGGGTGATAATTATCTCCAATATATATCTTCACTCCCGATGTCTGTCATAAACGCATCGTTGAGTTTATGGCATATATTTTGGGCTTTATTTCGCAAAACATTTACTTAAATAAGATGTTTAGGAAAGACAATTGATATATGATTTGCTTTTTTGCTAAATGTATGTAATTATGGGACTAAAGCACACAAAATATAGAGCCCCGGGAGGCCAAAGGGAGGGGAACACCAGGTCATTACGAGGTGTGGGTGTTGTGTTGGATATTATATACAGACATTATTTGGAGGACTAATCTAATTATACGTTAAATAGAGGTATTTGAGGTGATGTGAGCCGGGTGTTTAGCACATGGATACGCTAGTGGTTTATACGGTGGACCCCTCCCTCCCCATCATTTCAAGTAAAACATAGCATTAAATATATGAAATATACGAAAAACTAAAGCAACAAAAAATTGAGGTTAAAATAATGTGTATATAAATATTGAAATAATAATAAAAATAATAATAATAATAAACGATATGTAAACTCAAAGATTTTGATATATTATGCGATAATAATGCAAACACTGACTGAGAATAACAGGAAAAAGATCACAAATTTTTTCTATCATTTCATTCATTCATTCACTGAATTTCAATGGAAATGTTTTATTAATTGTTTTGCTGTTTATTGACACACATGTCATACACTGGTGTTTTAGTTATGATTTGTATTTTGTATTGCTCCGGAGTTTTTCAAAAATATGTTTTTCTTAGACATAAAAGTCCGTCTCAATAGTGAACTGAAATTTTTTTCTGTAGACACCGAGAGAGAGAGAGAGAGAGAGAAAGAGAGAGAGAGCGAGAGATCTCTTTCTCTCTCTCTCTCTCTCTCGGTGTCTACAGAAAAAAATTTCAGTTCACTATTGAGACGGACTTTTATGTCTAAGAAAAACATATATTTTGAAATGCTCGACGAATTCAAATCAGATTCGCCTGAAGTTTGTCTGCAATTTATCAACAATTTGTTACATCAGTCTTACGGCTGAATAACAGCCCCTTTGAAATGAAACACAATTTTAACATTTAAACACAACTTTTTTATATTCAATCGATTTATACGATAATAATGAAAAGAAAAATTGCTTTAATTGTAGAGTAAATAATTGAATAGTGAATGCAGTGTTACATTAAAAAACATTATCTCTTCCGACTCCCAAACCGTATCTGAAATGACAAACAAATAAATCTTTTGATGAATTATAATAATTTTCAAATAAAAAACACATTTCCCAAATCACATTACGATTTAATAAATTTAATAAATACGATAAATTATTGAAATATTTATACAAAACTACTATTTGACGTCAAATTCCTATCAAAATATATAATTAATGCTTTGAATTAATACACAAAATGACCGAAAAAATCGTATTAAATATTTAGCAAAAAATAAGCGATTCGTAAAATAGATTAATTAAAAAAACTTTTTATACATTTAATTATAAGTTTCCTTATTGCCCAATAAGATGCCCAATTGAACAGTACATACCTGTGCCACTGTTAGCACTGGTAGGGCTATACATTTTTATCAGGTGCATAGTTGTTAATGTATTGTATTTACGTTAAATTAAACGGTATTTCAATCAATACTAACATTACTATAGATAACCCAAAAAGATTGCAAATAATGAGGAATTTGTCCGAAAAGTTATAGCATTTTATTTACACACAGAAAATAATTTATTTTAAAAACAAAACTTTTTTTAAATAAATACTTTTTTTAAATAAATACTTTTTTTAAATAAATACTTTTTTTAAATAAATACTTTTTTTAAATAAATACTTTTTTTAAATAAATACTTTTTTAAAAATTTGTATTAAATTTTAAAATTCTTCGAAAGCTTTTCATTTACTCTTTGTTTTTTGTTTCCCATTCATGTTATAAGTTATATAATTGTATAGAAATTTCAGATTTAAATTCAAATTATAGTTTTTATACTTATGTATTACACAACAAAATACTTGATTTAGATTAACATTACAACAAATGTTCATTCAAAACAAGTCTATTGTATGATTGTATGTATAAAAACATCTTTTAATGTTTATAGTCAGCAATAATCTACTTATAAATAACATATTATTAAATAACACTTATAAATATGATTTTAAATAAAAGATTGCATTTTAATGGTTTTTTCAATATACAAAATTTAATATTAGAATTGAAAATATAAAAACAAAAATGACAAACTATTTTTAATAATTCTATCAAAATTACAAAGTTTTTTTTAATTAATTGTATTGACAAGTTTACAATAAGTTCAGTTATAACTTATAAAAATCAGTTTAAATTACAGTGTTTTATATAAAATTATATAAACTATATTTTCTTAAACATTATAATCCAAAACTATGCTAATTTACTGTATATTCAGTTATTTGTCTCAGTTTTCATACTTGAATTTTACAACATTTGCG